TATTGAAAATAATAAGCGCGAATGAATATGAATAAAATAAGAACAACAACAAATCAATATCAATCAAATGAAAACAACAACAAATCAATATCAATCAAATGAGAACAACAACAAATCAATATCAATCAAATGAGAACAACAACAAATCAATAGCAATCAAATGAGAACAACAACAAATCAATAGCAATCAAATGAAAACAACAACAAATCAATAGCAATCAAATGAAAACAACAACAAATCGAATGCATCATCGTCATCGGCACTATTTGTATCGAATCAAGAGATCAATCATATACAAAACAAGAACGATTCATCAGTAATAAAATAGTAACATGCGCGAATCAATATGAATCAAATATAAGCAACAACTTTATTTTATTTTATTTACATCTCTATTTCATCAGTTTTATCCTGTCTTGTTATCTCCAATATCGTATCTCTTTTACAGTAACTTACGCCCCCCATAATCTAATACCTCAGCATGAAATTTTTGCTAGCATTGTTTCAACTCTCAGCTCGACCAAACTCAAGCGTATCCTCATCTCACTCTAATCCCAGGATATCAAATAAACTCCGTTTGCTAGTGTGTAGTACACACTAGCAAACGGGTGTATTTTAGTATCGTCTCCATCAGCTAGACTCGATGCAGAAATTCAAGTTAGGCTTTCATTTACCGTTAGACTAAAGCTCAGTTTTATGACTGTATTTAAGTCAACGTTTCCACTTGTTTTTTAAACTCACATTAACGATTAAATTTGGTCTTATAAGGACCAAAATGCACCCATGTGTTCGTATTTAGCCCTCATGTTTTCTATCGTTCTTTACTATTTAAGCATTTCTATTCAGAATTTCAAGTCTTTCTATTTTATTGCCATTGTTACTGTCTTTGTAGCTTTATGGTGGCTTTATGACAACAACAAACTTTAGAAATTAATCAAATAGTTTAGTTATTCTTTCGTAATCGTGTACTTTACAGAAGTAAACATTGCGCTTATCTCACATTACCTATTTTAAAATCACAGCCACTTCATCACGAAAAAAAAATTCAATTCAAAGACAGTTATCTGGCGAAACAATCCAGCAAATATTTACCAGCTTAGCTAAAGTACACGACATCATCTTCTAACATATTGATTTCTGACTGTCCCTTTCCTTCATGCCCTATCTCGACAACAGGCTCTCATCTGAATCTGTCATGCAAAGCTTCTTATCTTATTATTGCCCCCATAATCACCGACGATGTATTTCGGTAAGGCATGGGTGATCTCCGCTCTGAATGTGCTTAAATAGAGCCAATACGAAGCGCCACTTTCATTTTCTACTACCTATCATTATCACCGTCACTATCAGTCTTATCAGTATCACTATCAGTATCCCTCAACAGCAACAACACTAAATACTTCACGGCATTTTGCAGCAATTGTACACTCGAAATGTTCCCTTCCAAACCAGCAGCAATGTCAGTCGTTGCTATTTTTATCGGTAATTTGATGCGGTTTTTTACTCTTGATCCATTTCGTCGTTCAGCCATACGCACCAACTGTCGCGACTGGTAGCCGCGAAGTCATGAACGCCCAACATGACGTCACATTGGAATGTCTCTATCTCTGTCTGTCTGCCTGTCTCTGTTTCTCTCACTCCAACGTACTAATGCGGTCGCGAACTTTATAGTACATACATCAATAGTTGTTTATTGTTCAAATGTGCCACGTCACTTGCAGTCGGCATGAGTTGTTCTCATAAGTTATTATTGGTTGTTTACGTTGTTCACTACGGGCGTTCATTCTAGCACACCACAATTTGTTTCTCGTTTCTTATTTCGTTTCAATTACAATAGTTCATATTTGTTTAGCTACTAAACTTAGTTCACAATAGGTCACGTAGTCGTAGCAAATCGCGTAGTCGTGTCGTTATCGTTGTAATTACAAGGGTTTAATTACCCAAGTTTGAGGTCTGGAAAGGCAAATCGAAGACGATATTTCAATCCAAGCAAATCAACAACCACGCTTTCAAGTCCCAAATCCAATAAGTCAAACCAAATCAAATTCAATCCCAATCACCAGATCTCAAACTGTAGTGTGTCGTAATTGTGTCATTTCTTTTTGAATAAGCGCGAACAGTTCAAATCAACTCGTGGTCGTCCTTCGGATCAAGCTCCGTGAATTTCTCAAACCCCACAACCACCTAATTACCCTCATCCAATCTCAAAAGAGTTAAGGTCGTAATTAAAGAGTGCACCTCCAAATTTCCACATCCTGTCACAAATATATAAATAAGGTCAAAACCCAAGTTCCTTTCCCAAACATCCCNCCCAATCAATCGCACTCCAATCCATAACGAATCAACAAAGCAAACAATTGAACGCACAGGCCGGCCTAATTAAATAATTTCCCAAATCAAGTAAGCAAATCATCTTCATCAATAAATTACAAACGACATCGTTGGACAATTCAACTCAACCATCAACGTCGGCGATCTGTTGGTTCTGTTAAGTGATTCATTTATCATTGAGCTAGTTAAGCTAGTTGAGACCACATTGAGGATATCGTTTCGTTAAGAATAATATTTCGTTTTACTGTAATCACTTGACAATCTTCCAATTTCTCTTTTTTATTGAAGTAATATTATATTATCTCTGTTATTCGTCTATTGTTGAACTGTTTTGTTAATCATTACTTTATTACCAATTTACCTTTATAAATTGTTATCTGACGGCTACAAGTCAAGACAAGGTACCCACATACAACCAAAATCAATCCCTAGCCGCCACACCAACAGTTCACTGTTCCAGGCCCATAGCCGGTGACATTGGGGTTGCAGACACGGCCGTCAAAACATCTCATTTAGTCCTCTCTCAATCCGGATAGTCCTTAATTCTTTCGCCGTTGCTATTGTTATTGTCTTTGTCGTTTCCACTGGTAATTTTATTAAAACAACAAACTTCGCAAATAAAATAAGGCACCAAACCGTACAGTTTAGTCACTCTTTCATAATCGTGTACTTTAGCTTTCAACGACAAATCACGGAAATAAACATTGCTCTTATCTCAAACTATCTATTTTGCAATTTCGTTTTGACGTGATTTTGCAGCATCAAACAATTCAACTCTCAAGACTGAGCAAATACAAACAAATTCAGCCTACAACACGTCATCTTCTAACACATTGGTTTCTCTATTTGTCCATATCATTTATGCCTTATCGTGACAATACATCCTCATCTGAACCTCTTGTAAAAAGCATCTTATCTTCTTATCGTCCACCAATACTTTTCCACAAAATCTGGGAATGTTGCTCGCCGTCGACGAAATTGAAATAGAGAAGGCACCCTCCTTCTAATTCAGATTTTTGGTTGTAAGTTCTGGCTAGGCGCAGATCTTCTGCGTTCAAGACTGTATGTCACTGCTCGAAATGAACGAGAGGTAAGGGAACTAGAAAAATCACAGCCTGTTTCGCTTTGTAGAACAACTTTTTATAACGGTCCTCCGCTTGTCTTACAGGTATACACTTAAGCTTTCGCTTGGCTCAGGTATACACTTCAAGATCAAACATTCAGTGTAATACAAGAAGAAACATTCAAAAGAGCACTATTGATGAAAACGAATTGACAAAGAATCGACATCGTAGTGATGAGCCATCCAGCAGATGACGGCGACGTAGATCGTCCAGACGATGACGGAGGCGTTGACCGTCCATCAGGTGACCGAGGCGTGAACCGTGCAGCCGGTAACAAAGGCGTGGGCCGTGCAGCTGGTAACAAAGGCGTGGGCCGTCTAACGAATGACGGCGATGCGAACTGTCCAGTAGATGACGGCGATATGAACTGTCCACTAGATGACGGAGACGTGAACCGTCCCTCAGGTGACAGAGGCGTGGGCCGTCCAGCAGATGACGGCGAAGTGGGCCGTCCAACGAATGACGGCGATATAGACTGTCCAGCAAACGATGGCGACGTGAACTGTCCAGTAGATGACGGGGACGTGAACCGTCCAGTGAATAACTGGGACGTGGACTGTCCATCATATAAATGCTCATTGCATTCGGCTTTGAAATGCTTCGCACAATTTGAGCTGATTAATGGCGCAAAATAGAGCGCCGTGTTATATACAAGCGCACACAAGGCATCGGCAACATCATTCCCGCATGCACGCTCCATTTCTTTTAACGCACATCGTGTTCTTGTTAAAGAAGTGCTAAAAAAATCTTGTAATCAGAAAATAAATGAAACAATGAACAGCAAACTATTTAACTCTTGTTCGCCTACGGCACGGTTGAACGTATTCGGGTGCCTCAGATGAGCGTGGAACCCCCAACTGGATACTTGTATGTCCTGATAAATTTCAGCCTAGTTCGAGCAAATGTTAAAGGATGAAAGCAAATGCTTATCGTTAGCAGCCACTTGAATGCGTTTTTTCTTCCCTTTTTTTCTACTTTATCCCATACCCATCCTAGTTTTAAAACTGCCAGATTTTATACAGCCTAATTTTCAATGCTGTTCCATTTAGCAGGTCCAGAAACTTTTTGCTCTTGCCTCTTTGCCTGACCCATATGCCACCGCGACCCATCATATGGTTGCAACTTGCAACCAAGCGGTTACCTTAGCTCATTCTCATGAAATTCATTTACCCCATCGACTAACGAAAAGAATTTTGTCCAGATCTCTCACAAGGAGGGCATAATAAGTTGACTAGTGGCGGCAACGCAAGTATCTGAGCGGAATTAAAATCAGTAGGAGATTTACAAACGATTTCATGGTAGAATTAAAGTAAATTACTTGCAAATATCTGCAGGGTTCATTCCGTACGTTTGTGATTTGCAGAAATTCAGTTGTTTCTCGATTGTTTCATTCTTTTTAACTTCAGCTAAACACTGCTCATTCGCTCGAAAAACTGAAAAATGAAAAGAACAAACTATGAAATGTCAACAAATTACATAATTTTCCAAATAGTCTATCGACGGGCAATTCGACTGACGGAAATACTCAAGCGTTGGAAGCTTACATTGTAGAGATTTTCAATCAGTGAAGAGCTGTTCATTTTTTAAAGTGACAGCTGAAAAATCAAAAAGAACAGCGAAAAGATGTGGGCTTGAGAGTGGCTCGAGTTGGCCGGAAGTTTGGTAAGCAATGCAAAATTTCGACATGGTTAAGACAGTTAATATGTCACCAGCACCATGGTCAGCTTGATGTACTAATCCCGTGGTACCAATTACCAATCTGAGTTAGATGCATTGCATATAGTAATTGATGTGACCTAAATGAAATGATAGAGGCATGATTAGCGCATGCGATCTCCACCACTCCATCGTACCTAGGCGCCGACGACCTCAGCAGATACGGGATGAGGGATCGGCTGAAAATCCAAAAACAGCCCTTCCTGTTCTTCTTACCTTTGTAACCCTCACCACACATATACTCAAACTCTCCAAAGTAATAGAGATATTGATAACCATCTTCGAACTTGGCAGTCAACGCCAGGTACAATCGTAAGCTCAGGCAATCGCTCATCGGGTTTGCACCGGTGCTTTCTCTGATACACTTGTGCAAGTTATTGTACGGCCTGCAAAAGAGTTGCATGTTCTTTACGGCAACGAGTATTCATTATTGCGTGACTGTTATTGGAATGTTAGATATGTGTAAAGCTATGGATTTATTCGGTTATTTCAATTACAGTCGTTGTATATTAATGATTCGGAAGGATTTTTTGTTGATTGCAGCTGTTGTTTGTTTTCAACATCTGCTCCGAGTGATCATTGCTGGCAAGTTCCCTGGATTAGTGTGAACAGATTTTTGGTATTGTTCATTTCGAGTCACTCTCCCTCTCACAGCTCGTAATGAACTACTAGAAGTAATTGCTGAGTAAATTCGATGAAATTCTCATCCACCGATTGGGAGCGATGCAATCACTAGTTGAGAAACTTCGTATGGTGGAGTGATGCGGGATGAACTCATTCCCGAATGGTCGATTAGTGACTGTCATATGTGACGAATTGCCTTCTGGCATGAAGCTGCGAGTGATAGGAGGGATGGAAAAAGTTTAGAAAGTTAGCATTGAGTGATACTTTTTTCGAGCTTCTTGCAAAATTTTGTAACAATTCTTTTGAAATGTTTCTTTGACATATGAACAGTTCGTGCATCCGCACGAGTCTTACAGAATGAGAACGTGTGGTAGCCGTCATAAGCAGCAAGAACATGCAGTACGACGGTTACAAACCTGCATGTCTTCTGTACAGATTCGTACAAAGGTTTCAGTGCCGCAGTGAAGTTGGAGATCAATGGTAGTTTTCCAGATATGTCAACATCGAGGTCATATGCTTGCACATAGCTACGATAACATTCCCGAACAACCTGCAGTTACACATCATTGAAAAACTATTTTCGTTGTGCTATAAACAAAAGTAAACTTCAATTTGCTCGCATTCGGTTTAGAAACGAACTGAACAAATATTCGATGTTCAAAAATACCGATAAATAATTATAGGCAAGTATCATTTGGGAGCAACGTGTGCTTGCTTCAATATTCTTCAATCATTCCGTTTAATTATGTGATACTCTTTTTGTGTGTTCGTAAACAATGTGATTGGTTTTGGGTGGAACGATACCAAAGAAAGAGTCTTCTATCCCCCCCCCCCCTTGTTGCACCTAACGGGAGACACAACTATCGATGAGCTTGCGATTCCCGGTAGTCTCGTTCATTCCGCTCTCAAAACATTGCAACCAGATGTCCTTATAAACTGACTGAAAGTTCCTCACTAAAATTTCTAATTTTTTTTCTCTAAATTTTCTAAAATTTCTCCATCCCTCGCTCACCTCGGTTATATTGGCTGGACAATGCATTGTGGCCAATATTCCGTTGTCGTTATGCACAGCAGAAAGATGTTGTAATATTGAGCTGTTGGTGGCAGTCATGAACTCGGTCAAACCGTTCGAGGCAATAGGTACGTTGAACTGGGTGCCTGAGACTAGAGAGAGCAGTACTGAAAAAGAAGAAGAGGATCGTTACGTAAAATTCATTGTACAAAGCAAAATGGGCCGTGATTTTTCTAGTTCCCTTACTTCTCCTTCATTTCGAGCAGTGACATACAGTCTTGAACGCAGAAGATCTGCACCTAGCCAGAACTCACAACCAAAAATCTGAATTAGAAGGAGGATGCCTTCTATATTTCAGTTTCGTCGACGGCGAGCAATATTCCCAGATTTTGTGGAAAATTATTGGTGGACGATAAGAAGATAAGATGTTTTTTACAAGGGTTCAGATGAGGATGTATTGTCACGATAAGGCATAAATGATATGGACAAATAGAGAAACCAATGTCTTATAAGATGACGTGTAGCAGGCTGAATTTGTTAGTTTTTGCTCAATTTTATTGTGAGAGTTGAATTCATTGTTGATGCAAAATCATGTCGAAACGAAATAATTATAACTGCAAAATAGATAGTTTGGGATCAAGCGCAATGTTTCTTCCCGTGATTTGTCGTTGAAAGCTGAAGGGCACGATTACGGAAGACCGACTAAACTCTACCATTTGGTGCATTATTTCCGAAGTTTGTTGTGAAAATAAAACCACCAGTGGAAACAAGAACGACAATGACATTATAGCTACGGCGAAAGAGCGAACGACTATCTGGATTGAACGAGAGAGAAGGATTGAGAGAGAGGGACTAATTGAAAAGTTTTGACGGCCATATTTGTAACCCCAAAGCTCTGTGCTCGTGGCTATGGACCTGGAATAATGAATTATTGATACGTTTGGGTCAAAGGCGGAATGAGTAAGGAGTGAAAAACAGCATCAATTTACCGAACAAAACAGTAGCGACTGATACTGGTGTTGGTTTGGAAGGGAACATTTCAAGTTTACAACTGCTGTGAAATACCGTGAAGCTTTTCAGTGTTGTTGTTGACCGATACTGATTGCAATACTGATAAGAGTGATAACAATATGCAACAGAAAATGAATATGCCGCTTCGAAGTGACTCTATTTAAGCGCATTCAGAGCGGAAATCACCCACTCGTTACCGAGATATATTGTGTGTAATTAGAAGATAAGAAGCATTCTACTAGAGGTTCTGATGAGGGCGTGTCGTGAAAATAGGCCACAAAATAGGGCATATGGACAAACAGAGAAACCAATGTGTTAGAAGATGGCGTGTAGTAGGCTTAATTTCCAAGTAACTGTTGAATTGTTTTGCAAAACTCAGAGATGATTTGTTTTCTGAAGCAAAATCACACCATAATGAACTAACTGTAATTTTGAAAAAGAGTAATGTGAGATAGGTGCAGTGCTTACTTTTGTGATTATTTGTCGTTGCAAGCTAAAGTACACAATTACGCAACATTGACAAAAATGTACGAGTTGGTGCATAACTTCGAAAGTTTGTTGATGTCATAAAACCAGCAGTGAAAACTGCAAACATAGTAAAAATAGCAATGACAAAACAGAAATGAATAAGGACTTGAGTAAATAGTGAACCATAAATGAGTTGAGGGCTGAATACGAACGGATCGTTACATTTCGATTCTTTTTAAACTCATGTTTAACCGTTAAACTGAGCGTAAAAACGTTAAAAAAGCAAATGGAAAAGTTGACTTAAACACTAGCATAAATCTGAGCCATAGCCATAATCGAAAGCCTAAGTCTAAATTCCTGCTTCAAGTCTACTTGGTGAGACTTGTGTCGTGAATTCGTTTGCCGGTGAGTACTGTAGACTTGTGTCGTGAATTTCACAACAAAGATAATTTCTTTCCGGTTCTCGAAATACCGTGATTGGTATATGAGACACTGTGACAGGTTCGTAGTGCAACAACGGTGAGTTTATTAGTTATAAAACAATAACCACAAACAAGAAAGCGACAGTAGTAACTTGCAATTATTCCTTCAATGAACCAACTCAACAATAATCTCAATTCACTCAACTCAATGATCTCACACAGAAACTATTCGAACAACAAGTCACAACAGCAATAAATAACTCACAACAGCAACGAAATTTACCACCGATATTCCCTTGCGATCCGATCTGACGCACCGTTGACGATACTACGCACAGTTGACACAATTGATGACGTGATGTTCGATTAGCGAACTAGCACCGGTGCTAACAGTTGATGAATACGATGGAATAATACCACATAATCGACGTGGAGTAATCAGAAGATTCGGTGGTTCCGGTTGATACGTGAATTATTTGAATACAATCAATTCTGGTGAACGAGATTGAAGTATTCGTTCAAATATTAACAGCAACAACAGTTGAGATGAGTCAAAATTGACTCCAGATTATTACAGTGACATCGAACTAATAATTACCAGCTCGAGGTGATCCTATTGTTATCTGAATAGTTCAAATATTCAGCCAGAATTGAATATGTCTCTTGTCTTTGACGTTCCAAATTGTATTATCACCTCAAACTTGGGTAATTAAACCACAAGTAATTCAATCAAATCAAATGCACGATCAATTAATTAAATGAAACACATCAAATATCAACCACATTCCAACAATTAACATCACCGAGAATCCTACAATTCAAAAACTTTTCACATACATTGACAAAATACATAGTGACACTGAACAACACTGGTGATCCATTCTAAGGCGACACAATGCCACACTGTTAATTACTGTATCACACACATTCAATTCAATCACTTAATGCTTGAAGCAGCGTTATATCGCGATCTTCGCGACAACTTGGATGTCGCTCCGTGTCGCAACGGAGCGCGAAAGAGACGATTCGTTAGCGACACTAAAGTGATATGCACCTTAAATCTGTACTTTAGCTGTGTATTTATAAGATGTTATTGTTATTGTTACTTACACATCGAGCGGTTGTTTCGTTGATCGCTGTGAGCGATCGGCAGAATATTTATTTTGTAGGGTGATGATTATTTATTGGATTGGTATTTGGCTGCGTTTAATTATGCAAAGTATTCACGGCAACTAGTTAATCACTCGGTTGTGTTCACTTGGCTTGTTCGCCTAGCCAGCGGGTTGGCGTGAATCAAGGCTAAAACAGTGCGAACGGAAATGCGAGCATTGTGGCCAGCAACGTTACAAACGTTTGATAGCCTGGTCAATCCAGGTAATCCAGGTTTAAGATGTACACGAATATCACGCACTATCGATTCGAATGATGAAATGTAACTTTCGTATATCGAAACTCCGAGGAATTCTCCGGACTGCGTTTGTCGTTCATCTGAAAGTTCCTCATGAATTCATACTTTCTATGCATTTTTCAGGTGACGAGATGTAGACGCCGAAGATAGCAGTGCATGAATATGACACTTAACCGACATGTGTGGGCTAGCCTATGTTACAGTTTCCTGCGGGTGCTCATATTATGCTGTTGATCCTATGAGTGAGCGTTGGAGATTTATTTACTAACTATACAGATGAGGGCTGCAGAGCTTTTATGCAATTTCCGAGTTTCAAGCAGCGGGAAGAACTCGAAATTGAAAATGTTTTTCTTTCACTGGTTCTCAACTTGTTGGGCAGACTCCATTCTGTGACCATTCTACGAAAACAGTTCCGAAATGTCTCGTGTGAAGAGAAGTTGGAATATGTGCAGTTTGCACGTCAGCCTTATCACTAGTTTCATCGATAGATAATCCAATTCAACGTAATATATAGGTTTCAGATGAGAAATTCGTATGACAAAAAAAGCGTCTGGTAGTTCTACGACTATCCCACTTTCAATGGCGCAGTTGAGAACGATGATGCAGTCAAGCTGATTATCTGGGCTCGTGGACTGGACCTGACAAAAAGTGCTAACCGAACAAGATCGAGCAAATTTGATTTTTGGTGCCACTATAAAACGAAGCCATTTTCAGTGGCAACCGAAAGGGACTACTGGATCGGCGGCAAGCGGGGATCAAATTTCGGTGCCACCGCAGGAAACAGAAGGGGTGAACATTCAGCAGGCAGTGACCGCAAGCGATGTTCAAAATTTGCCTTTCGGTTGCCACAGAATTTCGGTGGCTAACAATAGGAAGCTCGATCTGGGCCCACTGAAAGAATTGCATTCCCCAACTGTATCATGCAAATAATCAACCTCGAATTTGTCATAAAATGTTGAGCTATGCTCAAACGAACTCTAGGAGAATGATACCTGAGCGTAGTCACAGTTTGGACTTCTTTTAAGGCGAACTGATTAGCTCCTATTCATTGATTCTTCCTTCATTCAGTCATTCTCCGTTATCACAAAAGAGATCGGCGCTGTCATGTCGCAGTTTAAGCCACTTTTCATTGAATGAAAGCATTTGTCGGTGGAAGAATATCATTTCAGAATCAAAATGGACTTAATTTCATCTTGGTAATTGCTGAACATCGCCGAGTTAGTCATGCAATACATTGCATTTCACAAACTGCAACTACTGATCACTTTCCTTTCACTTGGATGGATTATCATTTCCAGTTATCATATTATTGATGTTGACTGATTATTCACGATCAGTGAATTTTTAGCAGAAAGTGAATTTGTGCTTAATTTTCATATCTGTAAGCAATTCCTCTTTCACAAACTCATCGAAAACTATCACTGTGCACTTACAATTAGTCTAATTGTAAATGACTGCATCGAGCGATGAAAAATCTTCCAAAAATTTTTTGCATTTTCATAATCAGCTATACGAGCCCTACAATATGATATACATCTCATCCCGAAACGCTCGGGTAAATTCGTGACCTTCCATTGTTAGTGATCATTTCACCACAGTCTCAGACGTGAACAACCAGATTTTGGAATTCAGTGTGCAGTATATTTTAATATATGCAGGGCATTGTTGGTGATCTGATGAGATCACCGTTATTAAACAGTGCTGATAATTGCAATTAGAAGATATACTCAAAGTGATAGGAGAAGCATTTGGTAGTAAAATTAAATGCGATATAAGAAATGAGCAAGAGAGTGCTTCTTCTATTGACTACTGCTTTATGCCTATGCTTGAATGTGCTTATTTCGAAGGACACGTTCTAATACAGACGTTCTGAAGCAGTTAATCGAACCTCAGGAATTGAAAAGTGATTTGAAAGTGTTGCAGTTATAAAAGTAAACCAATAGGCTTTTGGTATTTTGTGATACTTTGACACCTTTGCGTTCCAAAACAAATAGCAGATGTTGACAGTTTATCTTTTCAAATGTGATGAAAGTGCAAAGTCATAAGCAATCTTTATGAAAATGCATTCAGTGTGATAATTCGTTGCTGATCACAATTTATGACTATCGTTTAATAACCAGATGCTGTACGTGGTGGTGGGCAGTGATCGCAAGCACCAGCCATGCCAGGCGCGCCATCCTTGCCTTTCGGTCCGTCGGGGCCTGGAACACCAGCTTGTCCGTCTGCACCAGCAACTCCTTGTTCGCCTGGTTTGCCATCAGCACCTGCCTTGCCAGCAGGTCCAGGTGGTCCATCGGGTCCGGGTGGTCCAGGTGGTCCTGCAGGTCCAGGTGGTCCGACTTCTCCTTCTCCATTAATGTTTTCACCAGCTGGTCCAACTGGTCCTTGGTCTCCTGGTGGTCCTGGTGGTCCTGGTGGGCCTGGTGGGCCAGGGGGTCCTCGTGGGCTCGATCCACCGAATCCATCTGGTCCTGGTGGTCCAGGTCTGCCAGCTGGTCCTTTGGGTCCTGGGTTGCCTGGTGGTCCGGGCTCAGCTTCGTCACATATGAAGCACCATTTGATGTCTTGTACTGAGTTAACTGATGGAGTTGCTCCTGGAGGTGCGTCTTTACCAGGAGCTCCTTGAGGGCCGTCGGCTCCATCCCTGCCATCTGGTCCTGGTGGTCCTGGTGGGCCAGGTTCACCAACACCGCAACCACAGCATCCACCAGCTGGAACCTCAGATGACGTTCCTTCAACTCCGATATCGTAACCCGCTTGGCGAGTACTACGGTGTGGTCCAACTTTTGCGAGCATCTACAAGATGAACGTATTCAATGCTTCATTTCGATTATGAATTCTTCCGAGCTCAATCAGAAATTGCATCGTCTCAATGTAAAACATGTTCAGTGATGAGCTGTTCTGTCGTTTCGATACATTCTGCGCTCCATATAGCACATACATATAGTTCAATGTGAACTACATCTATGTTTTATATGCGACGCAAATTCACTTTCTCCCATTTTCCCACGAACATGTCCTCAGCAAAAAAAGTGACTTTGCCATGAATTTTCTCACTATTCAAATTCCATCGGCTGTGCTTGAAACTAGAAAGAAATAGATCGCATAGTATTTCAAAATGAAGTAATGTGATGGTGACGATTGGAACTCACTTGAGTTCGAGTAACCTCTCGGAGGATGTTGCTAGAGCGTGATTTGCAGAATTCAACTTCGCTCTGCATAACCGATTGCATATGCTGCATGTAGTTGTAGAGCATCGGCACAGATATAACGCACGCGAGTGTGGCTATCGTCGACAGTGCCACCCCGAAGAACGCAATTCTTCGGAGGCTGTTGCACTCCTCCTCACGTTCTAGTTTCTCGTTCATCTGAAAGCACCCCATCAATTCATTCTATCAAATTCGCATCTTTATAATTCGCATCTCATTCGGCGACGGAAATTCGAACTATTGCAAGCAAGCGGTCATAACCGACAGAATCTGCGTTCATTTTTGCGCCTAATTCAATCAGTTCAATGAGGGACTTCTCACAAAAATTGCATGCTACTTAGCAGTCGAATGCACTTTCACAAATATCTGTCATTGATTCCGCGTTCATTCGACAGCAATCGTATAGTCCATACCAGCATGAGTTCTACTTTGACAGATACTCTCAGATGAAAGGAAATCAACAATCGTTCAAATTTATTGTGCTTCCTCTAAAAATCAACTTCAATGAGAGATAAGTATTCATCGCTTACAACAATCTACATCTACATTTAGGCTTGGAATTGGAACCAAATTCGATTGAACAACTGAATAAAACACGCTTCTATACGATTCCAATATTTTAACACTGTATTGGAATGCTATTTTCAAAATTGATCAATGGACACAAAGTGATTCTAGCGCTGGAATGAAATATTCAATCGATGTGTATTTTTTTCAGCAACGCTGTATTGGTGGTATTGAAAACAATAAATCGAAGTTATCGCTACGTGGATGAGAAAATACTCATTTTTGCATTTAATGAGGTATTTTCATGTGTTCAGTTGGTCAACTTCTCGCATTTTTAGCTCTGTGACGACCAACCTTTTTTGCAAAAAGATTTGTGGTTACAGTTTACATTGCGAGAACAGCCTTGCTTATGAGGGGGAGCTGGTGCATCCACTTCGCTGGAAGAGGTGCTCTTCAATAAGACCAAAAACCTAGTGACAGTGACTGACGGCTATGAAAGATGTAGTGGACAATGATCAAAAGATCGATCTGTTATATTTGTTGAATGTAGTGGACAACGAAAGGATCGAACGGTTTGTTGAACCGCAAAATGACGGTATCGTTGGCAGAGGTGGGAATCTGTATTCCGTACGATACGTTCCTTGGGGAGCATCGCAACAATGTGTATATCAAACGATGTTGCAGATGAACCACGGTAGGGTTGAGCGAACCACTTTGTAGCCGAATTTTTAGAATTCATAAGCTACACTGGAATGACAGGAACCTATTGAGTCGGCGAGTAAGGAGCTAGAAAAATAGTCAGAGGGGTGCTCGGCAAGTCAAGTGAAGGATGGACTGCTAGAAAGCAACTGATTAGAAGTGATTCGGCAACGTTTAAATACACTTCGGCAGATAACGTTAAAATTGGAAGTTTGCTGTGAGCGAAATGATGGATCATGAAGTTCTTTTTTTTTTTTGCAAAAAATATTGCTGTCATTCATTATCAGCATATCGCAATACAGTGTGAAATTGAAGATGCTCAAAAGATGGAAACAGACGCTATCTTCGAGTAGGTAAGCACTCAAATGATTTTGAGAATGTGTTGGATGGGACGATAAATTATCCTTTCTTGAGGGTAGAGAAAGGGGAAAGAAATGCTTTAGGTATTCATTTGAAAAGATTGCAAACGAGAGGAATGAGACGATAAACTATTCGTGCAAAACAAGTAGCATGAATACTTTTTTTCGTCAGACCTTTCGAGAGGATGTTTTAGTAGCATTATCGACAGTGTAATAATGTGCTTGAATGGGTATTTTTGCGTGTTTGCATTTGCAGTTTTTATGTCCTTTTGAGTGGCGAATGCACACATCAAAACGATAGTTCTTTATGCGAAAGGTGTATGAGATGTGATAGAGAATGACGGTTGTATAATAAAAATTACGGTTAAGGTGAAACATTTGAAAAAAGAAACGCCGAGAAAAGAAATTTTAATTGCGACAAAAAAAGTGAAGAGAAACGATTAATGCGCATTCACTGAAAACGCCTCCCTTCCAGTTACACATTTTTGGTCGTTACCGAAAATTTACTTTCATTAAGTCGACAAGTTGCATTCGAAACGAAATGCTTCGCAATTATTGGATATCATCAAAAATATTTTTTCATTAATTAATATTGCGAGAAAGATTCATATTCTCCGTTTCATGTTACTTGCCAAAAAACTAACGATGGGAGAAAGGGAGAGCTAAAAACAATGCTTCACATTTCGAAGAAAACATCGATGCCACATTTCGAAGTAAACATCATCAAACTAGCCACGACATTACGAGGTTTACGCTCAGAAAAAAAAANAAAAAAAAATGTTTGCAAACACCTGAGATGAAAGTGTGCATATAAAACGAGGACTTGTTTTGAAATTGCATGATGTCAGAGTCGGAATTTGCAAAAACACTTGCAGTTAGCCGTAGGAAAAGTCTGATTAGTGCAAGATTTTTAGGAACATTTGCCGGAAATCTCATTAGTCTATTCTCTTAGCACATCTTCACCTAAGTAAACATCACCATTCCGCATTAATCGTTACTCTCAATAGACTTGTTCGCGATGCTCACGATAAAAGAGGTAAGTGAATAAAAACAGCATCACATCCATTCAAAAAAGCATTGTTTTCATTCCATTTGCTTTCCAGACATTCTTTATGTTATCGGAAAAATTGAAACTTTTAGTTCGACTAGGCTTGATTACTCATACCTGCGCATATGCACGCTATACATCCGATGAGAATACCTGCTTTCATCCTGAACCCCCACATTACTGATCACTAAACATCACACGTGGACCGATGCACGTTCCGATCACCAATATTTGATTCGAGATCAAGTAACTTCGCTTGTTTCCTGCCGAAATCTGTAAATCTCTTACGGATTTACCAGCGCAAGCGGATTTGCTTTAATCTCCACCACTTGATGCTTACTCCTAAGCTTATGCTGAATTTCAGGCTTAGGCTCACGATTCACTGGAATTTCACTCTTGTCTGATGATATCCTCGTATGGGGCTCAAAGGCAGCCATCAAATAGTTCCTCTGGTTTCCCCACCAATGAATTTCATTGATAACACGGAACACTAAGGTACTGTGATCGATTGCGTTTGTTTCGCGGACTGCTATGTGATTAATTTCTTGTTGTTTCGAGCATTTTTCTGTTTCGGAAAATTTTTTCAGTCTGCTTAGTGCAATCAACATTGTGTGAAGTGGAACGAGAAAAAGCAAACCTCAGAAAAAATATTTTATTACTCGTCAAATGGTGACTGGCGACTTTTATGTGAAATTCTCATCGAATAATTCGTGTGAATTCATTGACATTCTACAAATTAATCATTCATGAACATGAACTTCCTTTATCGGAAAGTGTACCTGTTCAAGGAAAAAAATGATTCATGCACCACTGGGTGTCTTACATGAAAACCAACACTTTCTTCATCTTCACAACAATGCATTTTCCATTTCTACGACAGTTTTGTTAGCATTCGTTGTAAAGCACTGAAAACATTGAATATTCCATTCGATGTTTATAGTGAAAAAGTGAAAAAGCTTTATAACAGTGAAAAAGCTTTATAGTGAAAAAGCTTTATAACAGTCGAAACATATTTGCAATTTGACAAATTTTAAGTGCACTTTTATGACCTAGTGAATGGAACGGAAGAAGTAAATGAACCGTGATCGAAGAGAAATTAATCGAATTTGCCTCATCAATGATTGCAAAAAATGTTCGTAAACATAAAATTAATGCAGAAAGTTTCATCCTTTATTTGATTACCTGTTTCTGATGATTTGTTCACGCAAATCTTTTACGCCCTATGAGCTCGTTGAAAAGTTTATAATTTGGTGAAGTTAAAAATGTTGAAAATTGAAAATATTCTATGCTTCGTGAGTAATGATGTTGATTTTAGAACGGGTAATTATTAGTTAAAGTTGATACCGCAAAATCATCGCCTTCAATGTCACGATAATTGCTGAGCTCATAAATTCATTCACCGCTTCAAGATTTTCCTAAACAACAATGAGAGAAATTCCTGGTAGGAAATGCAGTTTCATAAATGATAAGTTTTTTATTCAAAAGAAACGTGCTATGGCAACAGTTTCACATGAACAATCCTCTAAATCCTATAAATACGCAACAAAAAATACAATTGCTCTCATCAAAATTCTGTCTAAAGAACTTTAAGTTTCGACACTAAAACCTATTGGATTTTCACTTCCCTTCTATCTGGTTTAAATCAGAATTGCAGACGAAAGTCATAACTAGCATCCTAGGTTCGCCAACTTCGAATTTCGAGGTAACACGAGATAAGCTGCTAATATCAGAGGCTACGCGAATGTATAACGGTTAAGCTGTATGATGCTACTGCAACATGCTACTGAAGTCAGAATTTTGGCTAACAGTGCTCTGCTGTGATCGAATATGATGCTCCTCCAGACGGTTCTGTGAAACCTACAGCATACCTTATGCCTAGCTTTCATGACATATGGTTGGGTGACGATCGCTTCATTCGATACGCTCTGCCCATCGGCGTTTAACTGATTTTGTTTCGAAGACGTGCAGCAATATCATTGGTTTTGTTACGAAAATGCATTCAGTGATGATTTTGATGCTTTTCTCATTTTCTTCAATCAATGTGAATTGCACTTGTAATGATGAGCTTGCATTTCATGCTCTGCATTCGTGAATGTAATGCGATCGAACTGCAAAAGTTCCTATCCTTGTGAAAGTATTAAATGTATTTGGACGTTATCATTTCATACAGTGATTGCTGAGCAAGCAGCACAGCCTGATTGTAGTAGCATTAGCGAAATTGATGACAAAAAGTTCTCATGATTCGTTCCTATATTTTCGCGATATGATAAGACTAACCGGTTTATAATTTGTTTGAATGTAAGAAGGATACACTTTTGCTTAATAGTTGCTGTCCGCTATAAACAGTACATTCACCGAAACGGTAAACACAAAAAAATCACAGTGATGATGAAATAACTCAACGTAATAGGTAATTAAAGAAAGCATTCTTCAATGATTTTAATTTGACTGATACTGTCACTATAGATGAAACGCGACATTTAACAATATCGGTAATTTGGACCTAAAAAAAGGAAACAAACCGAGTGAATTGATGGTTAATGTGGCTTGATTATGTTGTTCCACTTGTGTCTCTCGTTCCTGGTTCAAACAATCAAAATTTCGTCGAATCGAATCAATCATCGACATTATCATGTGTTCATGCGTACTTTTCATTAAATTAATTTGCAAAATGACTGAAGAAATCCGAAAATGAACCAAAAATTCGCCCTTCTATCGACATAATGTGTTGTGACAGAGAATATGTACGCACTTATTTAAGTATATGGAACAAGCGGTGAAGCGTTCCATTGAACTTTGAATCTTTCATATGAATTGCGATATGAATAACACTTGTAGTGACTCGATGAGTTTTCTCCTTCCCGTGATCCTGAGTGATTGTATCGTTGAAACAATCTACGTACTGAAATCGAATGAATCAAAGTGATATGAGAAATAGTGAAGCCAGCAATGAGAGTTTTTTTGGCTAAATGCAATGAACATTCCGAAATGCATATGAACAGTTCTGAAGAACGCTATTCAGGAAAGCAAAAACGTCTCATTCAGGCGTATCATATGGTCCCTTTCCTCATTCAATAATCCTTAGTAAGTAGAGTCCCATCTTTGACAACTTATTCCATATCATAATCAGCAAAAATTCTGAAGAAAATTAAGAAATTGATGCAGTAATAAAGCAATTTGGTGCAATGAAATTGTCTATAGTATCAGAAGAATCACTTCCTTGTGATCAAAAAACATTTGGGAAACATTTTTGAACAGTTATTTTGCAAATAAGCAAGAAAAATAAATCTGTTGACGCAAAAAACAAGAATGGAAATCTGCTCGTACCTCTTACGCTCTCAACTCCCCTCTGGATAGAAATTTCCTTCCAAATGAAAATCGTGATCGAGATTGACAGAAACTTTTCATGGTAAGTAAGAGATTCATTTAGAGACTTTCACACCGGGTCTGGCGATATGGGCATGTCGGTGTCCATCCACTCTTGAGAATAAACACTCGGTAAATGAAAGAAAATGCATGGAGTAGATGTCTGGAATCGAAAATAAATTATTACAATGCAACTCAGCTCATGTAGTGATTTATGTGTCACATATCGCAACTGCAACAACCCGTACACCGCACTATGGGAAACCCACCCTGTAACACAATCAAAGATTCAAAGTTAGCCTCATGTAAAACCACAAAAANTTTAGCTCCCATACACAACAGCCCCTGTGAATTTCAAAATTTTAATTTAAGAGCGAAAATCGCAAATCTGTCGCAGCAACTGTGAACGTCGTGTGCATGTATTTCAGCCTCTTTGGATGCTTTAGACTAGTCGCCAGCTAACTCGAGTCCGCTCCAGTTGCATGGGGTTGAGTTCATCTGCAGGTTGTAGCTACTGGGTTACAGATAAATGTGGTCTACAATTGCAGAGAGATTGTGGGGTGAAGATTGAGTTCAGTGAGTACGGAATGCGAGCTTTCATAGCGATTTTTCGCTTGCAGCTCCAAACTAGTTATGAAACGTAGCTAAACGTAGTTTGTTGTGAGGACCGAGACTCAATGACATGATTGTTTCGTCATGTCGAAGTGATAAAAGAATAGCATAATGTCAAATTTTCATAATATGCCATATCTACTTCTCCGCGCCTTCAAAGTAAACGCCTGTATGAGCTGAAGAAGTTGAACTGTATCAGAATTATTAAAGAAGTGAGGTTTTGCACGTGTTGTCTAAAGGAAGGGATTCAGAATCGACATGCGGGTTTTGAGTCGCATTGTCGTGTTGTCCGCCATCAGGAGGCTGGGATTGTAACCACGATTATCTCGTATGATCAGCGTGGTCAGCTGTCAAGCAGATAACAGCTCAGCCGTGTGGAGGCTGTTTTTGTTTATTTCCAGATGTATTCTCCTGCCTTAGCAGTGTTTGAAGTCCGCTTGATGGTAACTATTTTCTTCCCGAAAATATGTCCTCTGTCCTTCCAGCCGTGGTAACGATATACTCTGAATGATTTTCGTTGATGAACTGACGCGAGAATAACGGAAATTTCAGTTGTAATGAACTTCTTCATTTGGATTTTTTGCAGTTATTCGTGTAAAATTGAGGTGAACGAGTACGCAAACTCTATCTAAAAGCGATTGAACAAGTGCAATAGACTAATAATGAGTAAACAAGTGATCCGAACAGTAGGTCCATCTGGAAGACGTCGTGGCAGACCACCGCTTCGGTTGAGCCTGCCGAGAGTGAACGTTGTGGACAATGGACCACGGTACTCATTGAGGAACATGAACAGACCATCATTCCATACAGATGAATTCGGAAGAACCAAAATCAAGTACGAAGTTGAATCGCGTGAGGAGGCGACTGGGCGAGATAACTTCAGATTCTCATTGCCTTCATTTTACGCTGAATTGGCGTTCGGTGGGCATTGTGATAGAGCATCACTTCGCACTGGTAGACTGAAAAGGTTAACTGTCAAACGAGAGTTGAGATCGAAACAAAATACATCGCAAGAAGTTGTCAACGGTCGATCGGCGTTGCGAAATGCGCACACCAGATCAACGCTTCGACGTCGAGGTTTCGGTAGAGAACCGTGCCAAAGCGGAATAGGGAGGGCAACATTGAAGCATGAAATTGATGCCGAGAAAGAAATAACTCATGAGCACGAAAGCGGATTAGCAGTATCTGGAGGCACATCACTTGAGCAAAATTGCGCCGCAGACCTTGATAATCAACCGCGTTCTGGAGCCGCCGAACTCGAACACTCATCAGCCAATCAAGAAGCCGATTTCGGTGAGAAGGCGAGGACGTTAACGGAGGATGATACCGCAGGATTAGGCGAAGCCCGGTGTGCAATCTCGCATCCATCTATGCGCGCCGTCGGACCGCCACTCGAAGTGAAAAAGTTTATGAAACCGGTTGAAATTTGTGAACATAACGTGAAGAATGTAGAGGAAAAGGACTCTCCGGAATATGAGCGTAGATCGAGACGTAATGGTACAATTCGAATGAGTCGATTAAAGAAACCAGTTAGAAGTCTGTGGCAACGGATGAATTGCAGAACGGTGGACGTGAAGTTATCACCCACTGAGGTATGCCTTCTGAATTTTTTGAAACGTTCGTTTCAAAAAATAGTCGCCAATGGAATTGTTTCAGTACTGTGACAAGGAGCAATTCAAACGAGAAATTCTACCCTTTCTATCCCATGTATATTTCGTTGGAAAATCGGGAGGGGGGGGGGGGGGGGGGGGGGGGGGGAAGGGAAAACTGACTGCCGCTCCACAAAGAGATATCGGAAACAGTGAGCAGTTGTGTTCGATAGAGCAATTCACCATAGTTATGTGGTTTGCCTCCATTTCTTTTCTGGCTTTTAGCTCAAATTGTAATGCTCTACAAGACAGGGTCAAAATTCGGTGCTTTCAGGATGCGACACGCAGTACAAGTGCATCATTGAAGCGTGCATTTTGTTTCGTCGAAGAAAAAGCAGAGGACTGGAAGCATATTTTCAATGAAAATGTCATGACGAAGAAAAACAGTGGAATGCTTTTAATTGGTTAATTTAATTGAAATGCTCTTATTCTTGAGTACATTCATTCGTAGCATTCATTTCGTTATGAGCCAAATCTTGTCCGAGCGATATGATTGGATCAGTATCTGATTTCAGTTTGCACTGACTATATCTCTGTGAATAGCTGAAGAGCACTAGTTTCCGAATTTTTCGTTGAAGTTGTTGAATAGCTCGTAAAATTCGTGCCCTCTAACGAGCTCATTCTCCTGAAGAAAGAAACTCCCTTTTTCATGTTCGAGTTTAAGTGATGATTTGACACCAATCGTAAGCTTTCATTAACCCGAAGTCCATCTCTGACGTAAGCTTGGGCTCTCTTACCAATGTACCTTATCGCAACTACTGAGTACTCAATACGAGCGAGCTTCATTGGTTCCATTAAACTCAGTTTCACTATTTGTTGAGTTGTTGTGATCTTAAAGATGGTCGTGACACAAAAGGAAACGGGTGCTCAACAGTCCATGAGAAGGCACATCCTCTAGTAGAACATTACAAAGAACGGCGAATATCAAACGACATTTTCCATTACAGGTAAATATCTGTTTTAACTCAGATCGCTCTCAATCTCATGATATGTTTCCCGAGTGAAAAAGAATCGAAAACATGAAATCCATCTGATGAGCCTGGACTTTCATGGCTCCTGACTATATCGTTTTACAAGTTCGAGTAGATCGCTGATGTGAGTCTATATTAGTGAAAGAATTTGCAGTGGAACTTAGGTATACAATGCATCTGCAATATATGTCAATATACAAATGTATATCAAAATTGCATTTGTATATCAAAATTCGGTGGTGTTGAGCGGTTATATCAGATTATTTGTTTATTCGATGGTGTTGAGCGGTCGGTCGCTTGGGTTGCTCTCGTGACCAACCCGGCTAAAGTGGAACGGTAACTGGCCTGCCCGCCTAGCCAGCGGGATGGTGTCACAAATGGCTAAAACAATGCAAGAAAATGGGCCTCAGTACCCTGCAGGGCAATCGAACCGTGCTACGACGGCGGTACGGGATTCGAGAGTCCAGAGGCTGCTAAGAATCTCAGGTTCGGACAGGCCGTCACAACATCGAAAAACAACCCTAGCCATATGCACCTATAACTGCAGGTCATTGGCAGGGAGGACCGGACTGACCCACTTGATGAAGGAATTGAAGAAAATTAAATGCGACGTTCTCGGGCTCTGTGAAACACGTCGAAAAGAAGAACTCAACGCAAGATGGAACGATGGGAGCGCCGTGAGATTGGGCAAAGGAGACGGTACTGGAACAGTCGGAGGTATTGGGTTCATCGTAAGTAAAGGATGGGCTTCTAAAATAGTCTCGTGCAATATTTTGTCATCAAGAATAGGGGTT